TTCTTATAAATTTGGATGAATACAAGATAGTATCTAGTGGTAAGAAAAACTCAACTCAACTCAAAAAATTTATTTTTTCGACTCGATTTTGTAGAATTTATATTTTGATATATACAAATAAGGGTAAAATGTTTCTAAAAATAAAAGTTCAAAGTCCAAAATAAAAGTTAAAAATATGTTTTTAAAATTTTTTCAAACTTAGTCGAACCTTTTCAAAATATACTCGATCATTTCGTGCTTTAAAGTCATGTTTCCAAGCTTTTCTGGCTCAAAGGATCGATCCGTTAGTAAAAGGATCGATCCCTTTGACCAAAGGATCGATCCCTTGGATAACAGTGAGTTTGGGATCGACCCCTTGACAAAAGGATCGATCCCTTCCCAAAAAGGATCGATTTCTTTGGTATAACGGTCAAAGTATTTGAAAAATGATCGATCCCTTTAGTAAAAGAATCGATCCCTTGTGCCTTAAAAGTTGTAGGTAACAGCTATTTCGATCCCCTACGGCTCCAAAACATCTAAAGTTTTTTAATCTTAATTTTCTTTCTCTTGTAAATATGTGTTTTGAGCTTAATTGTATATCCTTAAGTTTTGTTTTTGTGAGGTTTAATTTGTAAACACATTTCCTTTTAGAAGTTTTCTTGTTTACAATTTTTTCATTTGTAAAGGGGTTTTGGTTCTAGCTAAGCCTTTGAAAAGCTAGGGAGTTTGTAAAAGATATATCTTTATCATTGAAAAATAAAGAACAAATTAATGAATTTGTTGGAAAATCTTAAGTGAGGTAAGTAGTGGATATAGACTTCACTGAGGGAGTTGAACCGCTATAAATTTCCTATCTTTAAACTCCTTACTCCCTAAATTTCAAAAAGTCAATTCACCCCCTCTTGGCATATTTCGGTTGATCGATCAAGCTTCATCGAGCCTAACAAATTTGACTAGAAAAATTCGACTAAAAAATTTTCAATTCCAAGTCAAGTTATAGAATACAACTCAAATGACTCAATTTTTTTAGTAATTAATGTATTGATTTTCAAGTTTGAGTCTAGACCCTCGACTATGTATGATATATGTATATTACATATAAAAAATGAAGAAATATATATGTATTGCATATGGTCATAAAAAATATTTAAATTAGAATCAAATAGTATCATATTGTTACAAATACTTATAATTAAATTAAAAAAAAAACTTGAAAACTCTACGTGGGTCGACTCAAATTTTATAAACTTGACTCGACTCAAAAAAAATTCAAATCAAGTTTGAGTTATAAAATATGACTCATCAACTCGAAATTTTTTGACTCGCTTGATCGAATGTTCACCCTTAATAGTATATGTTCAAAGACACTTGGTCATTTGATAATGAATGTTTATACCTCTAACATATGCGATGTTCGAACTTGAAACTTCAAGATGTACCAACAAAATCATTTACCATCAAAATCGCTTGGTTTGTGCAAAAACTGTTATTTTATTAACTTTAACAACGCCAAACTCACAAATAGTGAATCAACATTGAAAGTATGTTGAACATAGCAATATTAAAAATTATTATAATTAATATTCAAATATTATTATTTCCATTCTTTCCAAATTTATTACAAGTGCATACATATAACTATTTAATTTTTATTCTTTTCTATTTTAATTACTGATCTTTTTATTTGATCAATTATATTACTTAATTATTTAAATAATATCAATAAAGTTACATGTTGTTGACATTTAAAGGAAGTGCTAGTGCAACAATTAATAAAATTAATATTGTTACATATTTGGTCCTCAATACATATGCATTCTATCAATTTGATCCTGATTTTGATTTAATTTTAATTTAATTCAATAAATTAGGACCAAATAGATAGAATATATAATATTGAAAATCAAATACATAATTATAAACACTTCCTTTAAATATTATCAGTAATTGATTTGATTGATATCATTTAAATAGTTAAATAATTAGATTGATAATATTTTAGGTTTCGTCCAATCGAAAATGTTATGTTTTTCATAACATTTTCGGTTGCCTTCATTTTCTATCGTTACTTAGTCTTAAATTAAGTTTTCGTCTCGTAGAATTTCTCATATTTCATAATAAACACATTTATCTTTATGTAACAGTCTAATCAACAATTTTTAAAAAATGCCCTAGTCTATACAAAAATGAAATACTCTTTCAGGGATTATATTAAAAATAATTATAAATGCAAAAATATTGTTATAAATTTTTTTAAAAGTAAATAATATTATTCAAAATAAGAAATATCTCAAATTACAATAAAGATTTACAATCACAATCGAAAATTAAGTACATAATTAGGAAATTTTCCTATAATCATTGAAGCAAAAATAATAACTTAAGATCATATAAAGACCATACAAGGAAAGATTAAATCTAAACAAGAACTTGAACAAAGATAGATACAAACAGATATGATCGCATTGGCAAACGAACCACAAAAGGGGATCAAGCTACTGAAAGACTACCGAAAAACCGTAAATCAAACTCGAGCGACGTGAAAAACTATTTATGAACGCCAATCAGGTATCCAAATCTAATCCGAGAGTCCAAAGTATGAAGATTATAATATATTAGATAAGCGTCATATTAATTAGTTGTGGCGATGTCAATCAACCCTTAGAAAAAAGATAAATAAAAAAAGGTCAAAAATAGAAAAAAAAACATAAGAAACGTGCCATAAAGGCATATGGAAACTTGCAACACAAGCATACTTATTGAAAATAAAAAACAAAAGAAATAAAGATATGATATAGAAAAGAAAAAAAAAAAGAATATCGACAGTCGACAACCAACATTAAAGTTGATGTCGTCGATCAACAAAGACGAAAGAGAAAAGAGATGAGCAACACACCAATAAGAGAAAACTAAGTTTTTTTTTTACTTTTGTAATTAAACTTTTGTTATAAACTTAAATTAACTTGGTATAGATTTAGGGAATTTAAAATTATTATAAGCTTAACAAACTTGTTATAAATCTGTAAAATTTTAAATTGTTATAAATTTAAATATAATTAAAATATTGTATTACAATAAAAATAACAATATTAATAAAAAATAAAACAAAAAAATATATCACTGACAAGTTCTTTGTGAATGAGTTATATAGTGTAATGGTTGTCGGTTTCGAGTGAAATTTCTTTGTATTAATTACTCTCCAATACGATTATCATTGACATTGCTTTCGTTGTCTTAGGGACTGCTTGTTTACCTCTTAATGGAATCATTCAGCGCTGAATGTTGAATCGTTCAGCATTCAGCGTGTTTGTTTCGCACTTCTGAATGATTTAGTGCTGACTGATTCAGCAAAACAGTGCTGAATGATTCAGCACATAAGTACATTCTGAATGATTCAGAGCCAGTAAACAAACAACATGTCACATTCAGAGCTAATTCATCCAAAGCCTCTGAATCATTCAGCATTTGAATCATTCAGCATTGGAATCATTCAGCATTTGAATCATTTAGCACTTAATCATTCTAAAGTAAAGAAACAACTCCTTAATTAATATTATCTCCAACATTACCAACATCAATGTGTGTTGATCAGACGGCTTCATTATCGTCGCATCTTAATCGTACAATTGTGGATGATAGAAAAATATGAATATAGAGGTGTGTGATCGACAATCCTATCATTGAATACAAACTATGAAATCTGAAGAAAATTAATCTCAATAAAAATGATCTCATTGATTAAATTGATTGGATTGATCGTAGTAGTATTATTTTATTAAATAATAATATTATTAGAATACATGTATTAAAATGTGGTATTATTGTTTTTATATAGGGAGGGCATTAAATTCATGTACCTCACGTTGCATTTAGTACTTAAACTATTAGTTTTGGTATATTTTTGTACTTAAATTTTTATTTTTTTCAAAATCATACATAACATTTAATTTTTATTTTATTTCAGTACACTGCCATTAAAAACTTAAAGCGTTTAGTACCTAAACTATCAATTTTCATCCATTTTAATACCTAAACTTTCATTTTTTTTCAAAACTTCACATTAAAATGTAAATGGGTACTAAAATGAAACAAAAACTAAACTTTAGGTATGTTTCCAAAAAAAATAAAAGTTTAAATACCAAAATTGATCAAACATATAATTTACTAATATTTTCTGAAAATATTTTTTTTCCAAACATCAAAGGGAATAACTTTTGTGGACAAGAATCCTTTGGATAAAGCTTGGTTTCTCATTAACTTGTTTCAAGAGCAATTTATATTCCTACAACTCGTTTATTATTTATTTAATTAAAAAGTGTGTAGAAGTATATAAAAGTATTTTAAAATTATATTCTAATTTTTTAATAGTGTAGAGTAATTACAATGCAGTATATGTCCAGAATTATTGACAACACAGACATGCCTTACTGCTCGAACCCAATATCTGTAAGATAAATAACCTTCTCATTTACTATTATTAAGATCACTTGATATATTCAAAATTATATTTTCATTTACCATTAAAATTTTTTGGTTCATGCAGTTATATTCTCATTTTTAAATGAAAAAGATTATCTCAAAATGATAATATAAATGATCAATATAGCACCAAGATCTTATAATATAAAAGATAATACGAATGCATCTTTTCTTTAAATAATCTTACATCACTTTTGATAATATGAGTTTATTTATTTTTATCAGTTTTATCTCATTTTTCACTAGTTTAATTCATTTTACTACAAACGAAATAATAATAATAATAATAATAATAATAATAATAATAATAATAATAATAATAATAATAATAATAATAATAATACAGTCCACGCTCTTTATTCTCTTGAAAGAGGAAGACAATGAAAGGGAGCAGAATTATGACAAGTTGATCCTTTGTTTTGGTTGGGGACCACACACAGTTTGGTTTAGAGTTTAGACTTGTTTGATTGTGGAAGTTTCTTTACCTTGAGCAGAACTCGATTCGATTAAAAAATTAAATATTTTAATTTGAACAAATATTAAAATATTTTATTTGGAGGGTTCAATTTTCTTGTGATTTTATCAAAGCGATCTGGAGGTTTCAGTTATTAATTATTCAATTTTCTTTACCTAATCCTGTGGCTTGGGGCAAGCCAGCTACCTTCACCATCTCAGCTTCTACTGGTAAACTTTCCCTTCTTGCAGTTTTTCTAATGATCCTTGCCTTGTTTTTGATTGCATGTTTGGTGGTTAATATTTAATTCTGGAAAAAAGAGGGTAGAGTGTTGAACTGTAGAAATCAATGAAATTACTTCATATTTTCTAAGGATTCAATTCTCTTGAACTTTAGCTGCCGAATCTTTTGCAGATTAAGTAAAACAGGAATAACTGGCTCGAAGGGTTTAATTTAATTATCCAATTCGTATTGTATCGAGCCAAGCATCATAGATTTCTATAATTTATGAGTCTTAAGGATTGTGTGCTCGTGGAATATGAGTTGCTTTGTGGAAGAAACCAGTGTTATCTAGTTCACGGTTCACTTTGGTTCGTGTAATGGGTACATGATCGCAATTTGTTAGTTTCCCCGTTTGCGGTTCGTTGGGGTGTTTTGTTTGCAACAGATTTTGGGATCATGATTCGTTGGGATAATTTGGTGATGATTGATTCATTATATAGATTAGAAATGGACTTCTCTCCTTCCATTGCTTAATTGAAAGAAGGGCTGTGCAACACTGCAACTTAAATTTATTTCTTCCCGGTGCTAGTACATAGATTGTGGTGCTAGAATCTAGATGCTTCTTTCTCTTCCCCCGTTGTTTGTTTGCTTTTGCTGTGCTGGATTTTTGGTACATCAATTTGGCCTTTCCAGCATGCGTCCATTAACGAATTGGAATGCGAACAAACCTTGAATTGGAATGAACGAATTCAAACGAGATTTGTGGGGGGTTGGGGCGGATTAGGTAACACTGGAAGAAACATAATTAGTTTACTGGTTTGGATCTCAAGTATGTAGGAATCTGCTTTAGGGTGGTACAAACCTATCCTAAACATAGGCCGAATTTCGGGGAGATTAAAAAGAAGCTTAATCAAGAATCAACCTTCAATCCTCCTTATGAACTGTACCAGCATGACCCTAAAACCCCTAAAATATTCTCTGGCAGTTGAGAGTACCAGCATGACCCTAGGCCTGTATCATGAAAGCCAATTTCTTAGGTATTTACACTTCAAATCTTGGTGAATTATGGCATTATGCTTTTGGCTACAAAGTTAAATCCAAATCGCTAGACTGGTGCTGTGTTTTGATGGCAAAACCATTTCTTCTAAATCCTTTTCTTTTGAATAAAAAATATATTTTGGATTTAATAGCTTAGACATGAATTCTTGACGTTCTGGAACTTTTTGGTACATGTCATTGAATGCCTTCATTTATACGGTACAGATCTGTATATGTATCTAAAAATTGCTCCATGTTTTTATGTCCATGGTTCACAGAGCCTTTATTGGCAGTTCATGATTGCGTATTATTTTGCAGGTCAAGCAATATCTGGAGGCAAAGCGGGGATTGATGTTTCCTACTTTGGGGTACATGTCCATCAAGAAACTCATCCTCTTTGTGAGGAAACAACCTGTCCTATTTCTGTTGGGAACTTTGTACTCTCTCACAATCAAGTTTTACCTGGATTTACTCCACCAGTAAGTTTCACTAATGGCGTTAACTTTTATTTTATTTTATTTTGAGAATATTTTCAGGATTATACTACCTGTGAGGTGCCCTTTTAAATTGACTTGAACGTTGAAATGTTTAACTAGCCCATTGCCTGACATATTCAGTTAATAAAGCATTGCTTGGTTGCAGTGCTTGGTGATTGATCTAGTAGCCCAATTTCGTAAGGTCCCACTCAAATCTCTATATCAACCTTGTTGTTATCTTTTATAAAATGAAACAGTCACATTGCTTTTTGTTGTTCAAAATAGAAAAAGGGAGAAAAAGTGTATCTTAGTTTGGTTCTTCTTGGTTGTTTAAGGCAGGATACAAAGTGGTCTCAGAGATATATTTATTAGCGACACATCGTCCTCAAGTCTCATGCAGGCACTGCAAGAAATCTCACACGCACCTTTGTGTGACATTTATGTGACTTCCTTCGTCAATTCCTAACCATTTAGATGTTGTCATCAAATAGATGGTTGCTTCATTTGATTCCATTTCTATGGTTAATTTCCAACCAGATACATTCATATATCTATATGATCATACTCGATTTTCTTTTCTTCAAATTAAGAAATAGAAGAAAAAGTAAATTGTTTCCATTTCAGATTGTGCTACCGGGCTTGTATTTTCATCCTTGCCTGTTTGATGCACTTCTTTAGTCGATGATTATCTTAGAGACCTTTGATCGACAACATCATGTTTCCCGATGCCTTTTTTTCCTTTCGGTTTTGTTGTTTAATTGCTTATTTCAAACTTGGTTTGACTTGACATTGTTGAACTTTAGAACATTTAGACTATTTCTTACACTTGCCTTAGTAGCTTTTCATGTGTCCTGAAAGTGTCGATGCACCATCTGGTTTCATATTTAAGCCAGCCTGGTTCATAACCATCTGTAGAGACCAGAACCTAGATTTGCTCTTTCTAGGTTGGGGATTACAACAGAAAAGCGAAATCCCATGCACCGGTTTCGAACTCTACTACTCTTAATTCGGAATTTTTAGGACTCATTTACTTTGTATGGCTTTTGCAGGGTTCCTACACGCTTAAGATGACAATATCAGGCGATGGAATCCCACAGTTAACCTGCATTTCCTTTGATTTCAAAATCGGTTTCGGTACTTCGGGATCTTCGGTTTCCGATATCTAAGCTACCAAGTTCACATGTGTGGATGACTGTCACCGTACAATGTAGTGGGATGTTTGCTTATTTTGATATGGACAGATCTCAACTTCTAAAACCTTTGTACTAATAATAACTAGGCAATTATTCCACATGTCCTAAATATATCTGAATCCTCTCAGGCAGGCATCCCTGATTTTCCTAGTAAAGAAAATGACAAGGGAGCTATTTGGAACATAAAACATATATGTAACACCTTAAATCAGTACGACACACAGTTGACCGGTTAGAATGTTACACGAAACTAATTGAGTGGTTCACCCAAAATTTTTCTAAATTTCTTAATTTAATGACCAATTAAAAATCATTCCAAATAAAGGAATTCATCCATAAAGTATAATTAAGTTTACATTGGGGAGCTCCCAAAATAATATATCAAAATATACAGACCAAGGTGTACTTTGCTCTGCACTCGATCTGGGAAACTGCTGCTCAAAAAGGCTCCTCGACTGCTCCTCCTAAATACATGAGCACAGAAACAAATTTCGAACACTGATCTCACTAGCTCAGTGTCAGTGTCACACTAACAACTAAATCATACTAAAAGTGTTCAATAAATGCTCAAGATGTCAAATACAATGCAATAATGAGTATACTTGTATACTTCACTCTCTATTTTATGGTAGACACCATGGTGCGACTGAAGGTTCTTCATCTTGGAGCTCACGCACCCCTCTAATTTACCGAGGATAAGGCACAAAATCTCTACATCGGACATATCACCCTCGACTAACCCACCCCTCCCGAGTGTCGGGCCTCAGCCCTAGTTAGTCTATTTAAAGTTCCTCATGCACTACCTAAAGATATTCGAATTGATTCTATTTTCTCGATGCTAACACCAATGACTAGAGTAACTTAGGTGTCCTAGTCGTTTCCTGAGTATTCAATCAAGGCTAGTTGATGTGATCCTATCTAGCTCCAATTATCTCCATGACTTAATCACACTATGGATGATCTTCATTGTTGTTTCTAAGGGAGTTTTTCCTTACCTTATCTTAAATTATATCATTTATAAATTGTATTATATCATTAGCATGCATTCACATCTTAGTATAAATCATCAATTTCGTCATAACATCCTATGCTTAGTTTATCATGTCTTTCTCATCATTCAAATTTATGCTATGATTACATATCATTTCTTAGGATATTATTATTACATGTTTCCATTTATCATTTATTATGAATACCATGTTCATGCATACAACATATTCACATCTTTATATTATTTGGTGCACATTGGTATTTAAATATGTTCAACATGTTAGAATAGTTTTGCATATCATTTACATATCATATTAAGCATGTTTTCAATCACTCATCAGCTCATGTCATGTTATTTCAAGCATGTTATTATTTCATATTAGTTTTGCATTCATCTAAGTATGCTTCAATGATAGCATACTTATTATTCCATCATGCACATTGTTATTTAAATATGTTTTGCATTCACATTCATCATGGCAGCATACATTCGTGTAGCTCATTGCATTCATCTTAGTACTTAAGTTTTTCACGTGTTGTTTAATGGCATTTGTAGTTAATAAACATGCAACCAAAACCTCACAAGCACATGCACGACAGCAAGGTATTAGTTCATAATAGATTAATGCCATTAAAATACTTGTTTTCCTTGCACATGTAGGAACATTAGAATATGCCTTATGTTGGGATAGCATAGTGGAGCACTTAGAAGACACATCCATCTCACCAACACGGCAGCAAGGTTTAGTGGAGCATGACACACAATTGGCAGCTTGTTGGAGCATTAAGAAGATATGAACAACTCATCAAGATATGGAAGATCGTGGGGCACTAATTAGTGTTGAAGTTCGGCTGAAAATGCACAATGATAGCTCGATACCACAAGCCCTTGTTTTTGCTAATTATCTACCCACTCAACAAGCTTGAAATGAAGACAATACACGCCAAGTTGCTGCTGCACATCCTAGACGAAATTGCACTACCAAAACAACCCATGTGCGTGACCAGGAAAGCAAGATGCTTGTCTCCATTTAGCCACAACTTGAAGGATTCATCAAAGGAGATATATTCCTACACTTGACCGAATATACACCTAATATATGCATGATAATTATGTTTAAATTATGCCTTTAAATTATGTCTTTAGGAAAGTGTAAAGGATGGCCACATCACCATGCATTATTCATCCTATAAATAGGATTTCATGTTGCATTGTAACATAGACTTTGATTATCAATTAAGTGAGATTATTCTCTTTGTTAAGTCCTTGTGAATTTTATCGACTTATCAAGTAATTCAATTACTTGTGGCGTCAACCCCTATTTCACCTTGATACTTGTGGTACTTATCTCCATATAGATAGCGGGTCCAAGTCCTTATTACCATCCTTTAAAGAAGCAATATAAAGTCTGGGTCTTTGTTCTTTAACATTAGTTCTTCTTTGAGTCTTTCTTAAGATACTATCATCACAACCATTCCATTGTTTCATCCACTAAACCTTAACTAAAACCACATACTTCCGCTACCATCACTCTCGTACTTAAAAATAGCTTATCGTATCACCTTCACATTTACCACCTTAACCATCTATTTGAGTTATTTGCTTATGCAGGTTTTTTTGCTTCCTTCTTAGATCCACAATCAATTGATAAGGAAGAATCACTTTATATCAAGTGATATCGACCCCAACGACCTTACATCAAGTGGTAATCAGAGCTTTGGTGGAAGAAACAATGTGCAACAAAAAAAATACAAAAGAGAAGTGCAAGTGAAAGAAATCAAAATTCATCAAAGAAATTTCAGCACTCAAAAAGAAAGAAAAGTTGAAGTACACAACAACAATTCTCGTCACCAAGCCATTCAAGTAGGCCTTTTAAATTGATTGTGGTGATAGGAGGTTGTGAAGTGATTTTGTGTAAGTAACCCCTTTTATTCTCTTCTTTCTATTTATAAGCCACATTTTCATTATATATTTTATTTTTCTATTCCTACTAACTATTTTTGCAGTCGACGCACAAGTAAAATATACTTGATACGGTTTTGAGTAAAGTCACTTAGAACTTTACAAGAAAGGAACGAGTGGAAAAAGGCTAATCGAGTGTGTAAGATCAGAAGGTGAATTGCAAAAGCCAATTTATATTCCCGAATGCAAACACGAGCGTTGAGTGGAGCATCATTATTTTTTTTGGAGTGATCGTGAGGTTTTATTGTATGAAATTTGGTAAGGTCCTAATTTTCACATTTCAAATTTTTTTACTAACAATGTTATTTGATATTTCCTCTTCCCAAGCAATGGAGAACATACAACAAAGAGAGAATGCATTTCATACTCGTTGCCATGTAAACGATAAAGATGGTAAAGTATGTCTTGTAGCCATTGATAGTGGAAGTTGCAAACCTTGCTAGCACATATATGGTAGAGAAGTTGGGACTTACAACGTTCAAACATACCAGTCCATATGTTTTGCAAGGATTAAATGAAGATGAAGAACTAGAAGTCATAGAGCAAGTACTGGTGCCCTTTTCAATTGGGAGATATGAAGATGAAATCTTGTGTGATGTTGTTCCTATGATTCAAGCCATCTTCTTTTCGGTCGACCTTGGCAGTTTGATAAACGAGAAACACATAATTGCTTCACCAATCGTTTCTCATTCCTACATAATGGAAAGAAGATCACCTTGGTGCCAATGTTGCCAAATCAAGTGCATGAAGACCAAACTCAACTGAAGTTACGCATAGAAGAATGAGAGAAAACTAAAGCCATTAAGAAAGTTGAAAAAGAAGTCTTGCAAGAGCAGCAAGTTGAACAAGTGGAGAATCAGATCGAAAATGAAAAATCTGAAAAGGATGAGTGTAGAGAATAAAATCAAAGTAAAGGACAAAATTTACCTAACAAATCTTCTTCTACTATTTCTTTTGCCTTGCAGGACAATCCAATAGACATGCCACTTTAAATTGAAGATTCAATAAACATGTCTTTTGAAGAATCAACAATTATGTCCCTTGACGTTCCAAAGGATATATCACTTGAAGTGCCAAGACTTGGGATCATTGATAAGTAAGAATACTTATGCAAGTTGTTTTGCTTCATTCCTTGATCCACAATCAATCGATAAGTAAGAATCACTTAACATCAAGTGATATCGACCCTAACGACCTTACATCACTAGTCTTATGTCACCCTAGTCGTATATCACCCGAATTGATCTCGTTTATAAATATATTTAAGCATTATCATTGTTCTCACTTGTCATCTTATTAGGAAGAAATTATAGAGCTTTCAAAAACCTCATATTTTCTTAAAGTCCCTTGAGATTATTTGCCCCAATTTGCACGCTGGTACCGATACCAAGCCCCTCAGTATCGGTATTATCGCTTGGGTATCAATACTCCTCTCATGGCATCGATATTGTACTGCTAAATCCCATTGAAGGAAAATAAGTAGTATCGATATTCCTATGGGGAGTATTGATGAGTATCGATACCAAAATTGAGCACTGGAAAAATGGTCTCGATACCGAAGCAACTCTTCCATAAAATTCTCCTGATTTTATGCCTCTTATAAGAACGGTTCCAGTATTGTTCCTCCAATATTGATACTCACGCTAAAAAATGCTCTACTTGGGCATGAATTTGTCACTTAAACTCTCCCAAACTATTTTATTGAGGTCCTTAATCATTATTAGTGTTTTATATGATAAAAAGAGATCATAAATAAGACTTTAAAACATGTTATAACACTAAAACATGAAATCTACCATGAAAATACTTAACATGCTTTAAACTCACCTCTTAAGTTAGAATGCATTTCTAATGACCCACAAATGGTGTGAAGAAGTTGTAAATGTGTTACCTTGGTGTTCTAGCTGATGGAAACTATAACACCCATCTCCCGTATACCTTTACGTATACGAGCTATAGATGTCACATCACTTTTAAAATAGTTTCCCATTCGAAAATCCGTATAATTTTGTTTTATTTTATAAACCATTAGAATTTAGTTATAATTAAAACATGCATTAACTTACATATGCAAATAAAAAGAGATGTATCACATTTCATCGTTTTACAGTAGTTTAATTCAAAA